TGATCCCATATAGATAGATCTTGAAAGAGCATAATATTGAAGGCAGACCATTTTCACCAGTTAAGCTAAACTACTGCTTGGTTTTAAGAAGAATTCAGGGGATATTATTGGTTTAATATTTAAAGATTATCTCAGGGCAATAGTTTCAGGGTTCATCTAGCCTCCATGGCTCTAGAAAGTCTGTCTTCCAGGAGAATTTGAAATTCTGTTCTGCATTTCCCTCTTTTTGATTAGGATTCTTTTACAGAATTTTTGATCAAAATAACTTCAATAATGGTAGCCAGGTACCATCCAGTTCTTGTCTCATGGCAAAGGAGGAAGCTGTTCATGGAGGCAATTAGCCACACATTCCATATTCTTCTCCTATTCCTTGACTTTCCTCCTTCTTTGTTCTGCCAGGTGAATAGAGACCAATGGCTGCACCTTGGATGGCCACTTGCAAGCTTTTAAGAGCCCAGTCACTGAGCCACGAATTAGCAGGCAGAACAGAAGCACCAACACATGATGACCCCAATTAAGTAGGATGTCCTATGAAACCATGATTTTCCAAACTAAAGAACCAAATTCCATTAAGTTTTTAGTTGTATATGAAAGCAGCCTCAACGGCTTTTCCTTTTTTATTTTTCCTTTTTTTGTCATTGTAAGTCTATCTATCACACAACTTTGGCCAATTCAACTTTTTACAAGCATACAACTAACTGACAGCAATTGCAATAATCAATCAGCTGTGCAACTCTACCCTTAATGTGATTTTTCCATCACTGCTAATCCCCCCTTTCCCTCTCCCTCCTGCCCCTGGTAACCAAAAATAAGCTTTAGTTTCTATGCATTTTTTTTTTTTTGGATGTAAGTAAGGAATCCTCAATTATTTTTAAGAACAGAGACTAAAACAGAATAAAGTGGCATGAGAGCAAAACATCTCAGTTATTAGTTAAGAGTTTTCATGAAAATTTGGACCATACTTTAACTACTCATTGTTTTATTCCCAGGAATAGGAATCCAACAATGAACTGAGAAGCATTTATTTAAGAAAAATGGCTAAACGTTAGGTAATAAACAGTGGAAATCTGGGGCATTTTTGCTTGGGGTTGCTTCCATCCCCTGGCCCCTGTTCCATTTGCATGATAGCGCTACTAGGGTGGGGATGGCAGTGAAAACCAGTAATTTTGCTACTTTAGTATTGCCTTGAGGCCCTCTGGTAGCATAGTGCCTAAGGCACTTGACTGCTAACCAGAAGGCTGGCAGTTCAAACCCACCAGCCACTCCTCGGAAGGAAGATACTGCCTCGGAAACCCAAGGAGGGGTCCGACTCGATGGCAAATAACGACAACAACTAGTACTGACTTGAATTAGCAGGGAAGGCCAAAAACTCATGTCCAGCAGTGCTTTCAATAAAAATAGCAAACAGGTAGGAAGTGATTGGTGAAAAAAATCATAGTTGTATTTGTCTAAGGTTGCAGTAACCCTGTAGATGTGTGGCAGACTGGTAAACTAGTCAGAAATCCAACAGGGAGACTGACTGACCTGAAAATTAACTGAATATTAAATGTACTCTCAAACACACAGGCAAATCTGTCAGCAATGGGTGGAAGCCTTACTGGCTTATGATTGAGCATAACCTCTGACCAATCAATGGCTGCTGACTAACCTATGCAGACAGAGGGTGAGGCCCCCATTCCCCCACCCCACAAAAGACAAAAACTGATCAGAGATATCAGCAGTTGCATATCCTGGAGGAAACAAACACTAAAGATAAAATCCATACATTTTACTGAAAACAAAACTACTACTTCTAGTAAGAAATAACAAGAATCTAGAACTGCTATAATATATGACTCAAAATGTCCAATTTTCGTAAAAATTAAGTTATACAAACACAAGGAAGAAAGTATTCAATAGAAACTGTCTCTGAATGGTCCCAGATGTTAGACTTAATAAAGACAATAAAGTAGCTATTATAAATATTTTTAAAGAACCAAAGAAAATTTTAAAAAATGAGTCTGGTTTGTTTTTTTTAGGTGCTGTTAGCTGTTGTCAAGGTGGCTCCAACACACAGTGACCCCATGAGGGCCTGGCATTCCTTGGAGATCTCCATGTATCCTATTATTAATCTTCTCCTTGGTCTAGAAGGTTCACAGTGCAGGGACCCTGGGCCCGAAGGTCATGCTCCACTCCCAGTCTTTTCTTGATGGTACTGGGGTCTCTCTCTCTCTGCTTGGTTCTCTCTCATCTCTTGTAAGATAAAAGGTTATTCAGGCCCAGCCCAGGGAAATTCTTACATCAGATCAGGGCTGTGACCTGAGTAAAGGCATTGTATCCTACCTTAATCCCTTCACATCAGATCAAATCATAGGAAATGATTACATCATTATATAACTTTCAGTTACATCTTCACATAACTGCCAAACGACTGAGCATCAGGCCAAGCAAACTGAGACATATTTTTGAGGGACATAGTTCAATCCATGACATTGTACCCTTTGGCCTCCAAAAGTTTTTGCCATTTGTAAAACACTTTCACCCAAGCATGTCACCCCAACAGTCTTAAATCTAAACTCCAAATCCAAGTTCTATCCTGGGTTAAAATTCTTCTTCATTTGTGAAACAAGATACAAGTTACTCTTGTTTCCAAAGTACAATGGTGGAATGAGCACAAGGTAGACATTTTCATTACAAATGATAGGAGTAACAGGCACCAAGCCAAGTCCAAAACATAGCAGAACAATTTTCTCTGAGACCAACTGGGCAATGGCACTGCTCTCAAGATTCTGTGTGCTGGTTATGCTCTCTGGCTTCTGGGTGGAGGCCCCACAGACCTGAGATTCAGCTCTGCCTGCTAGGCCAACTGGTGCTGCAATTCTGCTTCCTCAGCTTTGAGCAGCTCCATTTTCCCAGTCCAGATGAGTGGCAACTTAAACCACTCAGCCCCAGCCTACACCTAGCAACAGACTTAACAATAAAAATTAAAAAATTTCACTCTAAGATAAAGAGTTCCACTCTCCCAACTTTAACAATGCACTACAGGTGTTAGCCAGGGCAATCAGGCAAATAAACAAATAAATAAATAATAAAAAGCATCTAGGTTGGAAAAGAAAAAGTAAAGCTGTCTTTTATATGCACCAGATATGATCTTGTATGTAGAAAATCCTATGAAATCTGCAAGGTATGAGAACTACTAAATGACTTCAGCAATGTCACAGGTTACAAATAAGATCACTATACAAATATACAAGTATCAATTGTATTTCTACATAACTAGCAATGAATAATCCAAAGATAAACTAAAATCATTCCATTTACCAACAGCACTTAAAATAATATTTATAAATAACTAATAATAGAAGCACAAGACTTATACATTAAAAACTGTAAAGCACTGTTGAAGAAAAGTGATTAATATCTAAAAAAAATGGAAAGACATTCTATATTCATAGACTGGAAGATTCAATACTAGTAAAATGGCAACTTTCTCCAAGTTGATCTACCAATTCAATGTAATCCCCATCAAAAATCCCAACAGACTTTTATTCTTTACAGAAAGTGACTGATTCTAAAATGTGTAAGGAACTGCAAAGGATCCTGAATAACATAATCAAATTGGAAAAAGAACAAAAGTATGAAGACTTATCCTTTCAGACATTAGAAATGTATTTGGGATTACCTGGGGGTAGGAGTGGGTGTGGGAGTGAGGACTGAGTGCAAATGGGTATAAAGATCTGACAATGATGAAAATGTTCTAAACTTGTATTGTGATGGTGGCTGCACAACTCCATAAATTTACTAAAAAATCATTAAACTGTACACTTAAAATGAGTAAATTTTATTCTACCTCAGTGAAACTATTGAAGAATATGTAAACAAATGTTCATAGCAGCTTTATTCTTAATAGTGCAAACTGGGAACATCTCAGATGTCCTTCACTAAGAAAATGGCCAAAGTAAGGAAGGAAGGGAGGGCGGGAGGAAGGAAAGAGGAAGGGAGAAAGAAAAGACTTCTAAAGAAAAGGGGGGAATAAAAGTTAATTTTATAAGTGAAGACTATTGAAAGTGAGACCAGTTAGGTAACTATTGTGGAAGTCCAAATTAAAGTTCTGAAATTCTAAATGAAATAGGAATGAAAAAGGAAAAATATAAAAAGAAAGAATAAGAGGCCATTGGCAATTACTAATAATAACAAAACCTGTTTGTTTATTAAGTACTTACTACGTACCAAGGACCTCTGGTGGCACAGTGGTTAAAGCATTTGTCTAACCAAAAGGTCAGCACTTTGAAGCCACCAGCCACTCCGCAGGAGAAAGATGAGGAAGTGTGCTTCTGCAAAGTTTATAGCCTTGGAAACCCCATGGGACAATTCTACTCTGCCCTATTGGGTGGCTATGAGTCAGAATCAACTCAATGGCAGCGGGTTTGTTTGTCTGGGTTACTATGTACCAAGTACTGTGTTAAGCATAATACTCATACCACTTTCCTATGTAAGATAACTCTATAAGGCAGTAAGTAACAACTCTGTAAGGCAGGCAAAATTGTTCCCTATTACAGAGAGGGACACTGAGATTACAGGATATAAATTTTTTCAAGGTTATAGACCTAGAAAATGGAATAGCTAGTATGTGCACATGTATGTGTGTTTCTTAACCAGAAGTCAGGGCTTGGGGAAGAAATGCCAAGTAACTATGAGGTCTTGAATGCAAGACAAAAATGTTTGCTGTCTCAATAATTAATTATTTTTTAAGTAATTGTGTGATCTTAGTGTTACCTTGTTATGTGCTGTTGAGTAGGACCCCAACTCATAGCGACCTTTTCTCCTTGTGTTTCTGAGGCGGTATCAAGAAAGGAAACACAACCTTATCTCCAAGAAGACAATTTCTTTCTAAAGGGCTTGATTAGGATAAGTGTGGCACTCATGTTACTTTTAATTTTACGAGTAAGTAGTAAACACACTAAATTGGACTTTTTCTCTCAGTTCCAAAAGAACAGCAAATCTTTTGTATAATCATGTACCTTTCTTCCACATGGTTTCTCTACCATATTGCTGTCACTGTCAGAATTTTCACTCTGCACTGGTTTTGTGAACCCAGATTTGGGCATCTTATAGCTTCTCAGCTAGTTGCTTCTTTTATCAATCTTCTCATTCTGGATCTGTTTAAAAAGAAAAAAAATATATATATACATAAAGGTTATTTGATACACATGATAGAACCTACTTAAAATTTATAAACCCTAATTACACCAATTTTGTTTTCTCTAAGAAAGAGTTTTCACAGAGAGGCTATCCTAACTTTTCATTTAAAAATTTCAGCTTCTAATAAACTTGTCTTGTTTAAACCTACTCAGCTTACTGCTAAAAAGAAAAAAAGGAGACTTACTTTTACAGTTCTTCCCATCTTCCCCAAGCTAGTACAGATAGTCTCTGGATTACGAACGAGTTCTGTTCCTAATCTGTCTTTAAGTTGAATTTGCACGTTTAGTTGGAACAGTTAGGTACAGTTCATATCTATCATATGATGTTAAATGATTCTCTCAGTATGCAGGACACAGTGTACTGTTCTATGAATAAAAAGCATTAAAGAAAGAAACATTTCCAGATACTAAAACATCTTTAACATGATAATACTGTAATAACATAATATTTTGATTTGGGTCACAAAGTAGCATCTGTTTATTATTATAAACAACTGTACCTCCAAATTTTAATACAACAGGTTTTATGGGGGTTGGTTTTTAACTATGGATTGTATGTATCCAATCTCTAGGTTTCTGGGATCCAGAAACAGTGAAAGTGGAAGCAGAACCAAATAGTTTTTTCATACCAGCATGGGTCCAGAAGTATTAGCTCCTTGAGGACTGCCTGGTAGTTTGGTGTTGATCAGAAAGTCATTTCGTCCCAGCCTATGATGAAGGAGCTCTGCTAGTGCAGTTCCTAAGGCACTTGACTGCTAACCAGAAGGCTACCAGTTCAAACCCACCAGCTGCACCATGAAAGGAAGAAGGGGCAACTTACTCTGTAAAGATTTACTACCTTGGAAACCCAACAAGGGTCACTATGAATCAGAATCAATTCAATGGCAATGGGTAACCTACGACTTGATATATTTTATCAGTAATTTTACCACATCTAATTCTCATATATATTAAGAGTCCCTGGGTGGTACAAATGGTTAATATGCTTGCTGCTAAACAAAAGATTGGAGGTTCAAGCCCATCCAGAGACATTTCAGATAAAAGGCCTGAGTACTTTCAAAAATGCAGCCAATGGAAATCCTATGGAGCACAGTTCTACTCTTGACACACATGGGATACCATGAATCAGAATCAATTTGATGGCAACTGGTTATTGAATTCCCTGTATTAGACTCCTTCCTATTTGAAATCCCTGGAGTAGTTTCTTTTCCTTCACTGAACCTCCAGACACCTGTAGGCGTTTAGTCACTTTATTATATTAATAATTATCACGCTGTACCTCCAGGTAGCTGGCTGTGGCCAAGAAGTGACTACCATCTTGTCCCTTGTCAGCTCTACTATATACCTAGAAATTCTTACACAATATACATATACTTGTAGAAACATTGTCTGCCAATGCTATACATGGTCTTGCACACATTCAGATGGATCTTAGCTGAAAGCAAAGAATACCAGAAAGATGTTTACTTATGTTTTACTGACTATGCAAAAGCATTCGATTGTGTGGATCATACAAATTATGGATAACATTAAGAGTGGGAATTCTAGAACACTTGATTGTATTAATGAGGAACCTGTATACAGATCAGGAGGAGGCTATTGTTTTAACAGAACAAGGGCATATTACATGGTTCAAGATCAAGAAGGCAGTGTGTCAAGGTTGAATCCTTTCACCATACTTATTCAACTTGTATGCTAAGCAAATAGTCTGAGAAGCTGGATTATATGAAGAAGAACATGGCATCAGGACTGGAAGAATCATCATTAACAACCCAACATAGGCAGATGACACAACTTTGCTTGCTGAAAGCGAGGATGACTTGAAGTACTTACTGATGAAGATGAAAGACTATAGTCTGCAGTATGGATTACACGTCAATATTAAGAAAACAAATAGCCTCACAACCACTCCAATAAACAGCTTCACAGTGGATGTAGAAAAGATTGAAGTTGTCAAGGATTTCTTATTACTTGATTCTACAATCAACACCAATGGAAGCAGCAATCAAGACATCAGACGATGTATTGCATTGGACAAATCTGCTGCAAAAGACTTCTTTCAAGTGCTGAAGAGCAAAGATGTCTCTTTGAAGACTAAGGTGCACCTAATCCAAGCCACAGTATTTTTAATTGCCTCTTATGCATGTGAGAGCTGGACAATGAATAAGGAAGAACAAAGAAGAGTTGATTATTTTGAGCTGTGGTGTTGGAGAAGAATGCTAAGAGCACGTTGGTCTGCTAAAAGGACTAACAATTCTGTCCTGGACGAAGTGCAGCCAGAATGCTCCTTGGAAGTGAGAATGGCCAGACTTTGTCTCATCTACTTTGGTCATGCTGTCAGAAAGAACCATTCTCTGGAGAAGAATATCATACTTGGTAAGGTGGGGGATTAACGAAGAAGGGGAAGGCCCTCAACGAGATGGAGAGACACAATGGCTGCAACAATGGGTTCACGTATGGCAAGGATCTTGAGGCTGGCACAAGACCAGGCATTGTTTTGTTCTGCTGTGCATAGGACTGCTCTGAGTCAGAGATGACTTGACGGCACCTAACAACATCATCATACACAAGCAGAAAAATTCTCTAATTCAAAAGCAAAATTGAGTTGCATAGTATCAACAGATACCTGCCTAGATAAGACTATGAAGATAAAGCATCATCTATTGTTTTGTTCTGCTGTGCATGGGGTCACTATGAGACTGAAACGACTCGATGGCACCTAACAACAACAACAACATTTGTAGATGAAGCAAAGCAAGTTACTGATAAAATTAGGGCTGTTACAAATATATTTTTGAAAGAACCATACAAGATAGTATTATTTCTTTTTAATACCTGCATGTTATGAAAAGTTTGTATTATTTTTCAATTAACGATTTAGAAAAGTTATCAGCAGTAATGTAATAAAAACCAAAGAAGCAAAAAATACTTCATCAATAAACAAATATTAACCACTTAATATGTAGTTAGGTTCTGGACCCAAATAAGTATATTAGAGTAACCAATAAAAAAACTATTCAGAGGTAATATTAGACACATTAAAATGGAATATTAAAAAATGTTCAAATAATAAAGGTAGGAAAATAAAAGTGGAGGAATGAAAATGAGGAAACAAACAGAAAATAAATAATGAAATGGACCTAATCCAAACATATCTATAATTGTATAAAATGTAAATGGTTAAAACAGAGACTGTACAAAGGAGGGGGGAAAAAAGAAGAACAAACTATTAAGAAATTTACTTCAAATGTGATACATGTAGGTTAAAAGTGAAAGAACTTGGAAAAGACAGGCCCGCAAGCACTAATCAAAGGAAAGCTAGAATGGCTCTATTAACATCAGATGAAATAGGTTTCAGAACAAAGAGGGAGATTATATATTGCATACTGGTTAAAAAAAGGGGCGGGGGGAATGTCAATTCACTAAGAAGACCAAACCTAAATATGTGTATGTTGGAAAATGTGTTCCTTTACGTGGTCTTTACCTCGGTACTTTGGAAAATAGCTTGAGAGATTTTTCCCTTAAGCCTGAGGAGTTCTTAGGGGTGCTACCTCAGCCCTAGTTTTCTACCCCAAGGGGTTTGTTACTTTTGTCCAGGTTGACTGACATTTCCTGGTAAGCTCTGAACAATCTGTGGTTTGATACTTTTTTGTCTGGCCCTGCACAGCAGCTTGCCCTGTAATTAGCATGTACCTTGCAGGGACTGGTTAAGAGACTATACAAATGATGTGTCTGTAGCCCACTTTGCAAATTAAGTGTCTGTGAACCACAAAGATGGGATTGGTCAATCTGTAGCCCTGGTGGGATGGCCATGCTTTGAAATTGATGAGGCACTTTTGGATTACAGTCAGTCCCAGAGGTTTTCAAGACAGAAAGAAGCAGGAAGAGAAACAGCAGAAAGCAGTAGAAGGCAAAGAAGGAAATAAGCAGAGAGAGAGAAGAGGTAAGGAACCTTCTAAAAGAGGTATAACACAACTCAAGGGCTGTAAGCAAAAGGCTTACAAGGGCCCAGTGCCAGAACCAGTAGCAACAGGCCTGGAAGGGGCTCTGGGGCAGAGTTGATGGTGACAAGACAGCAGGGCCCAGAAGAGCCTGTCCTGAGGGGGCCAAAAGATGGCAGTCCTAAAAGGACAGAGAGCAGGCCTGTCCTTGAGGGCTGTCAGGAGGTTTGCTTGAGAGGGCTATGAAGAGGTCTGTCTGAGGAGGCTGAGAGGAGGCCTGCACAACAGAGGAGCTGAGAGCTCAGCTGTCCTGCACTCAAGAAGGGAGATTCTGTCTACATGTTTCTGATCCTGAACCTGAGTTGTAGCCTGTTGATCTGATCCTGAGTTGTCCTATTACTCCTCAATAAACAACTGAACTGTAAATTTAAGTCTGTGAGTTCTGTGTGGCCACTGCAAGGGATTACTGAACCCAGAAGAGAAGTAGAGAGTACTGCTGTTATCAGAATTTGTAAAAAGGCTGCAAAGTGGAGGTTTCTTTGATTTCTACCTTACAGGGGTCAGCCTTAGGCTGACCTTGATTTGCATTATGCGCCCTGAAGTTTGAGGCAGGTTCTAATGCTAATATTGATGCTATAACTACTCCCATTTTATAGTATACAACTAACACAGTTTCAAAATACAAGTAAAAACGGACAGAATTGACAAGAGAAATAAATGAATTCATAATTAGAGTTGGAGGCTTCAACTATTCTCAGTGAGACAGAAAATGTGCAAGGATATAGAACTGAAAAACCTACTGGATCTGACACTGATAAAACAATCTGTCCAACAACAGCAGAATATGCACTCTTTTCAAGGGCAATAGGATATACATGAGGACAGCCCAGATCTTGGATCAGGAAGCAAACTTTAACAAATTTAAAAGAATGAAAATCATGTAAAATTTGTTCTCAGACAATAAAAAAATTAAACCAGAAATCAATTATGGAAAGACAACAGAAAAATCTCTGAACTGAA